AACGTTGGGCATCAGCAGGAAACACGCCGTCCCTCTTTCAGCTCATTTTCCCCTGGTCCTTTGGCTTGATTATGAATTTCTGCCCCTCAATCGACAGTGGAGATTTTGGGAGAAACAAAGTCGAGACATGCAGGAACCGTTGCTGACCTGTTGGCGCTAGAATTAAGCGAGGCCCAAAGCAGTGCGGAAGGGACTCATTACGTCAGCAGCCGAAGATGCTGCGATGGCTGCAATTGGCCGGGGAAGCAGGCGCCGGGAACGTCGTTCCTCGTGCCGGGAAATTGGGCAAATCGACCATCCTTGTCGATCCCAAGAATTCACCCCCCTGCTCGTTATTGTCTGTTCTCTTGCAGATTTCCGATTCATTACTCTCGCCTGATAAGGCCCCAGGTCCCATAGGTCCCAGAGAGGGTCCATCCAATGTCCGTTGCGACGGGAGAGAGGACATTGTGGTAGGTTTGCGGCTTGTCATTGTTTGCTTCCTCTTCTTTCTCTGTCTTCTCGGTTGTGTGTGCGCGCAAACTACAAACGCGATTCGAAAAGCTGACTCAAACTCGATCATCTACAGCTGCTACTCGAACGTGAATCTGCCCGTTGGGCACACGAGAAACCGCGACGTTGCGTCATCCCAACTTGAAATTACCTTCGTTAGTTCCCGACCCGTTTAGGAGCAAACGGAGCAGCTTCCCACGCGCCAAAGTAACGCTAGACCATTGCCGACCGTCAGTGCGCAAACTTCGATATTTCCACAGGAATTATTCCCCCAAACTTCTTCTTATTCCACGCTCCAGAGCGTTCAGGAAGCACATTTCCGACCTTCTCCATGCTCTCAGAGCTGTAGAACACATACCATATCCGCCAGAATGGACGAGAAGCAGGCACCCGGGAGGCCTAGTGGGATTCCTCGCATGTCCCGTCTGCCTCTTCCAAGAACAGCAGCTCCAGCTCCAGCTCCAGCTCCCGCTGTTCGACCATCTCCATCGCGAGAAGGCCTAAACTCGAGTAGACGAAATCCTCGCCTCCGCCCAGCTGCTTCACGAGACCAATTGGCCTCAGCTGCTCCTCTCAAGCAAACGGAGGCTCGCAGCCTTCCTACAAGACCGAAACGCGAAATTCAGCCTCCAACCACGAGAAAGACAGAACTGAGAGCTCCCGCTGCTACGCTGAGATCTTCCCGAAGCGTGCCTCGACTGCAACCAAAAGAATCGACGATCCAGAAACCCCCTACACCCCCAGAAGAACCCCAACGATCATTCACTCCTCGCTCCACAAGCGTTACGCGAAGCCCGTCCGAGGACAATGTCGCTTCCCCAAGCTCAAGTCGTCTGGGCGATCCGATTACTCTGACCAAAGACACGAGCAGCCCACAAGTCGCCGATGATGATGCCGAGCCTGATCTTCCAGACTTTGCCACGCTGAGAACGACACCTTTCAAACCCCGTCCGTCCCTTTCCGAACGAACCATCGAGACCCTTCAGCAACTACAATCCTCCCCTTCTCTAAGCAAGAAGACGTCCACATTCTTCGACCCAGATGGCACTATGCGGCCCCGCTCTCGCGCCGGCAGCGGCCACTCGAGACCTGGCTCAAGCTACACCTCCGATGGCTCCATGCGGCCCACGTCCCGGCACAGCAGACCAGGTTCGAGCTCTGGTGCTGAAGAGAACCCATTTGCCAATGCTCGACCGGCTGCGAACGCGTACCGACCTCTTGGCGCCATTGACGGCACCCCGGCTCGCCGTGTATCCAGCATTCGTTCCCTCCGAGCACCATCGCTGAGAGTTACGCCCCAGTCGTCACCTTCCGGACCGTCGACTACTTCGGCAATACCAGTCACCCAAAGCCCCAGCCCAACGAGACCAACTGGCATCATGGCACCGCCACCCAAAGCTGGAGCAAAGACGCTTGCTGCTCGCCCTCTAAAGCCCCGCGCCTCGGTCCAAGGACTCTACAAGAAGCCTTCCCTGCCAACAATGACCCAGCCAGCTCCGGCTGCGTCTGTTGCTTCGCCGCAGCCCAAGAAATTGACGCCGTCCAAGTCTTATGGATCTCTACGAAGGCCTGGACCGTCGAAGATTGGTGCTCCACCTCCTGCTGCTTCAAAAGATGCTGAAGAATCTGGAGAAAATGCTGCGGCAAAGTCCTCCAACGCTCTGCGAGAACAAATTGCCAAGGCCCGAGCAGCCAAGCGCGCTGCAGACCGACAAGCTGCGGAGGCAGCGTCAGCTCCAAACGCAGCGCCGGTTACGGACTCTTCTGCGCCATTCCAGCCTGAGCCACCCATCATCCCACAGGACGACGGGTTCGACTTTGGCATCGCTGTCACGCAAGACCCCTTCAACACCAAGAGATCGGAGAACTCTCAGAAGAAGGTCATTCAGCAGCGGCTCGGCACTGCCCGCAGCAGTGGCAGACTCAACATCGCGGCCATGGGCCTCAAGGAGATCCCGGTCGAGGTTCTCAAGATGTACGATTCAGAGTCCATGGGCACTTACGATGGCTCATGGGCTGAGACTGTCGATCTGACTCGCTTCGTAGCTGCGGATAACGAGCTGGAGACTATCGATGACTCCATCTTCCCAGATGTCACAGCAGAGGAGATGGCACAGGATGAGGACTCGGACGGCAACATCTTTGGCGGCTTAGAGGCGATGGACTTGCACGGCAATTCGCTAATCTCTTTGCCAATGGGATTGAGACAGCTTCCTCTGCTCACATCGCTCAACTTGGTAAGCCTACACATGCGACCCTGAGTGTCAACTTTGACTAATAAAAGCAGTCGCAAAATCGACTCGCAAACAACTGCCTCGAAGTCATCACCCAGGTCAAGGCCCTCCGAGACTTGAAGCTCGCCAATAATCTTCTTTACGGACCCCTCGATCCCATCTTCTCGAACCTCGAGAACCTCGAGATCTTCGACCTTCACGGAAACAACGTATCATCGCTTCCACCTGGCATCGAAAGTCTATCGAGGCTGCGCGTTCTTAACTTGAGCGAGAACAGCTTCGAATCCCTGCCTTTTGCGAGTCTGTCCAAGCTCCCACTGACGGAACTGCTGGTGAAGAAGAACAAGCTCACGGGAACGCTGATTGAAGATGGGGCCGAGTCCCTCCCAACCCTTCAGATGCTCGACCTATCCTGTAACCAGTTGACACGCTTGGTACCTTCAGGATCAGTCATCAGCCTGCCTGTCGTCCATCAACTCATCATCTCGATGAACCGCATACAAGAGCTACCCGATGTCAGCTCTTGGTGCAGCCTCATGACCCTGAACGCCGACGAGAACGCTATTTCCGAGTTTCCCAATGGTTTCACCGCTCTTGAGAAGCTTAGGCATGTTGACTTTTCTGCCAATGACATTCGCGTGGTACCACCCGAGATTAGCAGGATGGATAACTTGACCATGATTCGGCTCGCTGGCAACCCGTTGCGCGACAAGAAGTTTGTTTCTGCCACCACAGAAGAGTTGAAGGAAGTCCTCGCCGGCAGGCTTGAGCCGCCTCCGCCCTTCAAGGAGGAGGATACCGCTGTACCCGACGAGGCACACCTCGACGAACCCCATAGCATCCAACCAGACACTACTCCCGCACCTACAGTCGAAGCTATAGTTCGCGATAACCACTCGGACGAGGACGACTTCGCTACCCCTCCCACCTCTTCGCCGACATCACCGGCACGAGCGCGTTCGCAGACGCTAGCCAATGAGACATGGCCTGTCAAGCAAGGTGTTCTGGACCGATCAAATACCAAATCAGCTTCGTTGCATCCTGTGGTGTGTTCCAAGGTCGCGGCCGACAACAAGGTCATTGAGATCCAGTTGCATCACAACCTTTTCACCTGCTTCCCGAATTCACTGTCTTTCTTCGCCGATTCTCTTGCCGCCCTGTCTCTTGCGCATAACCAACTGGTCGGCGAATCTTATTTGACAGAGGAGCTTGACTTGCCGGCCCTGCGTGAGCTGAACCTCGTCAGCAACCACATCACCAGCCTTTCGCCGTTGACCACGCACTTGGTTGCCCCGCAGCTAGAAAAGATGGACGTTTCGTTGAATCGCATCACTGCCCTTCCGCCTGACTTGCGCTCAGTTTTCCCCAGGCTCGTCGTCCTTTTGGCAGCAAACAACCACTTGATCGAGCTTGACCCAGACACCATTAAGGGCATGGAGGTTGTCGATGCTGGTAATAACGACATTGCACACTTGAACCCGAGACTTGGCCTTCTAGGTGGCACTGGCGGGCTCAAGCGTCTAGAGGTCGCTGGCAATCGCTTCAGAGTTCCTAGGTGGAACGTTCTTGAACGGGGTACGGACGCTACCCTGCGGTGGCTAAGAGGGCGGGTGCCAGTAGCGGAGATGGCATTGTGGAAGGTCAGCGAGGGTGACACTGGCAACACTTCCGACACCAGCCTCGATGATGTAGATTAAGGGCACTGGCTGGAAAGGTGTAGCACCACTGGAAGGGGTTTATGGAGGAGGGATTTACGGTTCCGGGTTGATTTTGGGGGCTGCTTTGGGGGCTTTTGGGAGCTGTCGTTTCGATTCACGCACATACTTTTTCTTACTCGTGGCATCACGATGCCATGTTGAGCTTTCCATGGAGTTGAGGGGAAATCTTTGCGATCACCATCGCCTGATATCCTGTACCAGTACTGTATAATACTATAGACATAATATGGGACGGTGGCATTCCGTCCCAGCAAGGTTTCTGTTTCCAACGGTCTCTTGATGTCTGTTTCGTATTGACTTTTCACAATGCGTTGGTAGCGTATGTTGCTATAGAGGTCCTCAAGTTTGTGCTGAAGTCTTTCTCCGATCCTTTCTTCGTGGGATATTAAACATCGCATCCAAATCCTCGATATGATGGTCTTCTACTCTTCAGTTCAGCATCCCACATCCATCAGACGTAGCTTCGCTCTACTAGCAGCCAGCAGCAAGAATAATTTCTTTCGCCTGACTTCTCTACTTAGTACTTACAAAGTATAACCCGTCACAATCTTACACAATGGCAACTGCAATGGCTTCAATCCGGGCGGCTACGTCCCGTCCCATCAAGAACGTCAACTCCTTCTACACTGACTACCTCCACATCGTCAAAGCCTCCGACGAACAATCTGGCCGCGAGATGAACTACGACGAGGAAAAGCAGCTGCCCTCGCCACCCCCGGGGACCACCACCGACGAGGATTCTGAACCCCTCACCTGCTTCGATGCCACAGCCATCGTCCTCGTCGTAATCTGGGCCGTCTTCTTGGTCACCTTCGGCGCCTACACCTTCTGTAACGTCATCCGTGAGCCTTCGGAACAATACGTCTTGGACCCCGACGTCTTCAACACCATCGCGGCGGCGGTATATCTCCTCCACGGTGCTCTCTATTTCTGTTATTCGACCTATGTCGGTCTCATTTTTGCAGGACCGATAGAGGGGAAGGACAAGACGGAGAGCGCTGCCGAGGCGTATGCCGCTGCACAGACGTTCTCGGATCATGATTGCGGCGGCTGGTGGTGGGAGCCGTGTCTTTCCGCTGAGGCCATCGACAAACTCATCCGCATTCAAATCGCCATCTTCATCGTGGCTTTCTGGCCTGTCTTCATGGTGTACAACTTTGCGGCCATCGTCTGCCATGACTTCAAGCGCCTCACAACCACTGAAGGTGTTGACCGGGAAATTGGCCCCTGTGCCGTCTGCTCTGTTGGCAACCGCGCTCAGGAGAATCAATGTAAGAGGACCTCTGAGATTTCTGAGAAGAAGCCGTTACTGGGACAGAGGCTGACTGCGTCAGAGATCGTGGCGATTGAGAATGAGGCGGCGGCGGCTGAGGTGTGGAGGATGTATAAGGCTAGGATGGTTGAGCAGAAGCCGTATGCTCATGCTGTCCAGCAGTAGGGGTTGGACTCTTCATGTCTGGTTAAGGGGTTGCTAATTGCATCGTGGCTACATCATCTAGTGACCATGAGCAAGTTAACTGTATTCATTATCAAGAATTGCAAGTGTAGGGAATGAAGTCATTGAAATAGTTTGTTTGTTGTTGTCAGTGCTGTGATACATCTTCAGTCCATGCAAGCACTTATGGCCCAGTTTTGAACTCGAACTGGATGTCATAAGTTGCCCATCGTGAGATCCTTTCATGACTCACATCAATCGAATTGTGTCAGAACAACCTGCAGTATCAAATGTATAGTCTCAAGCATTCTGACGAGCATGGTCAACCGTGAAAAGCCTTCCTCTCCTTCAGATTTCCTTCGGGAGAGATTTGACATTGCTCGTTCCAGTCCTCTTCACGTTACCTCCCAGCCCCCCTTCTCCACGCCATTGATCACCTACCGTCTGCATAGCGTTGCCAGGTGCACGAAGAAATCTCTTCCACACTGGCACATCTGTTGTGTACACCTTTGGGGCTTACTGTCAACTGATCTGGCCAGACTTTACGAGGGCATAGAGACAGAATGCCCCTTACACAATCCAGCACCACCGCCGTCATTGCCTCAAAAGACGGCAAATTCCTGTTCCTGAAAGTTTACTCGGGAGTAGTGAACTTTCCAGGTGAATCATAGCAAGGTTGCGGCTTCCGGCATTTGCCATACTAAGCGGATGTTGACCATAGAGGTATAGTCTAACTTCACGACACCAACGGATAGACTACCTATCTCCGATTAAACCGTTACCCCTTACCCTAGGTCGTTGGAACGCAATCGTAGATAGACATGTTCTACCCTATATGAACCCTTCTCGTTTGTCCCAGCCTGGCCAGCATTGTGCTTGACCACCTCGTTCTCGACATCACTCCTCGCCACTAAACTCTCTCTTGCGATTATCTCACTAGGAATACAAAACAAACCACACCCAGTCACTGAGACCTGAAGTTACCACAACCACTTTCATCAAACAACACAAGTATTCCTTCCTCAGCCTAACAAAGATGGCTCCTACTACTTCCGCTCCTGTTGCCGGCCTCAGCGCCGGCATCCGGGACGACGATTGCAATTTCCGGAACACCATAATCATAGCGGCGGCATGTGTGGTCTACACTATTTCGGCCCTTGTCTTCTACGCCTTCCTCAATAGGTGCCGTTTCTTCCCTAGATGGTACGAGAGCTCCGATAAAAGACTGCAACACAAGGTCTTGCTGCTCTTGTGGCTTCCTGCTACCTTGATCCTCTGGCCCCTGTCTCTCCTCTTGATCATATCCTCTAAATGCGGCTTCGACGTCGGCGACAGGTTGGCCAATCTCTATCGACGCATGAAGACGAACAGCAGAGCCCTGAGTCGTCACATCAGCGGAGAGCCAAGGGAAGGAATGGAGCTCGACAGATGGGAAGAGATCGAACTCGAAGAGGAGAATCATAACGTTCTCCGAAAGAATACCACCATGGGAGTATTCATCAACCCTTTCGACGAGAGAGGTCGTTCAAGTACCCGCAGCTCAAGTGGATCCAACAGTAGGGACCCGTCACCCACTGATTGTCGGGCATCCCCTTCGGCTACAGAGATATCACCAGTCAAGTGGTACGAGAGGCTTCCTTCACCTGCCGGAATGAAAGGAGCTCTCATCCAGGCGGGCTTCAGTAGCAACGGCGGTCCGTCGCCGGCGGATAGCACAAGGAGCGAAAGTCCCTAACCAGACGACGGCGATTCTCGACAACTGACGACCACTCCGGCTGAGAGTGTGGACACAGTGTTGTCGGTTCCGAGCAGGAAGTTTAAGACGACACGAAGGTTGCAAACTATTCCTGAGCAGACCGAAAAGGTTAAAGGCTGGGAAATCATGGTTCTCTGAGCGAAAATATTGCTTCACGACAGGTACGATGGTCGACTTTGGTGTCTTGTTTCGGAGACCGCTTGTGGGATGGAGGGAATCACCATGACATCGCGAGAGTTATTCAAGGTCATCCTCGGCTGCATCAACCTGTACCGACACCCATGGGACTACTTTTAACAACACGAATCATTGGCAAGCGCAAAGTCATCGCCATGAAGAATCATCAGGCGCTCGGAGTCATAGCACATTGCAGTAGATTCGCAAAATGGTTGGATAGTCCTATCGAACTCTAGATTACTCTCCGAAAGAAAAGGAGAGTCCTACTGAATAAACAACATATCAAAAAAGCCACCGGCTTCCAGCCAACGATTTTCGTGTATGGAGCAACTCATAACTTGAAGTCGTTCACAGACAGGCCCTGGATTAAGTTCCAGTAGACACATTAATTTGGTGATTTGCCACGCGCCTAACCCTCCAGGGACTTCGTAGCCACTGAGAGCAATGAACTTCATGACTTGAACCTCCGCCTGACATTCTCGCCAATTGGAGTCCAACCATATGTAGCCTAATGGTGTTTTTGCTACACAATCTCCATGGTCGTCATGATCATGTATATCGTATTGCCTGCTCTCTTGGTTCAAGGTAGAGTCTGAAGCGGATGGTGGCTGCGTCTGGATACATACAAGCTCAGACACCTGGACGACGGTACTTTGCCTGCAAAGAGTTGGGAAGACAGCATATAGACTATTGCTATGTCTCGTTCGTTCTGCACACGCTGAAATCAAGAGATGTGCTGAACTCGTGCACACCGGTATATCGGGCAAGGTGTGACCAATAATGAGTCCCCGATTGACACTGGTGGGAAAGCCAAAGGTCTCGTTGTGAGCACGAGGCTCTATCATTGGCTTGCGAAGCTTGTACGAAGGATGCGTATTTCGCGGAGTGAAGAAGCCTGGAGGGAGATCTGCTCCAAGAATCTGGCTCGTACGAGTTGTGCGAATGAGGCTCCTATCAAAGATAACTCCATCATCCCAGCCAAGCCAGGACCAACTAGGAAAGTTTGGGTTCCGAAGATGGGGGTTATGTTTAGGCGTTTCCCAGCAGAAAGTTTGATCGAAAGCACATGTTGGTAAACCAAAGTGGAACATAGAGCTTTTGCCGTCCATCAGGCCTTCATGCCGGTGAAATACTCCCTGAAAAGCTGAAATCTTATCGTTTGCGTAGGTGAAGTTCCGCTTTGAGTAGAGTTCCACGGCAGAGAGAAAGTATTCCAGACTTTCCCCGTACGGAATGTTCAAAAGACCTCCCACTCTCTGTGATGGGCTGAGTGATGTTGATGGGAACTCTGGCTTCGGTAGCTGTACGCCTTCCAAGTCGTACAACGCTTCTTGACATTGGAAAAAAATTCCATTGGCGGTGAACAAGATAGCTCGATGAGACAACACTTGCTCTTGATAGCACCAGCCTCTCCTACTCCAAGCCGACGCTGCTAAGAGAGCCTCGAAGTCTTCGACAGAGCGGCAGCCTGGCAAAACTGCGCCCGCTCGTTTTGTCAACAAGCCCTCATGGGCATCTTTGGCAGATACTGCAACAATAGTAAATGTTGCTGCCGAATAGATGGACCGCATGCGTAAGATCTGAATCTTCCTATCACGGGCAGAGTCTTGCAAAATACATAGCGCATCTACCCATAGATAGGCTTCCCCAAGACGCTCACATACCATCATGGCATCTCGGACTGTCGTTGGGATTTGGCTCCATACCGACTCCAACCCTTGCGGTCGAGACAGCTCACGAATATTCGCAGACGTGAGCTTGACCTGATCCACGCTGCCCCAAACATATGACAGAACTGCAAAAGGCAAGTCATTAGGAGCATCCACGACACATTTTCGGCGGACATCAATGAGCCGAAACCGGATTCCGGGGAAGTTGCGCCACCGTAGCGAGTCTGGGTAGCATTTCTGGTGTTCATAGCTTGTTGCGCAATGGGAAATTTTATCCCGAATGGCGTCAAATTGAACCATGGAAACTCCAGACATCGGACTAGCACGATTGCTACGCATCCCGGTCCTTAACTTTAGCCGGCTTTGTCTAATGGCCCGACTCTGGTTCTTGTTTTGGAAGCCTTCTTAGGTGGGAGTTTCAGGCGTTTCTTTCTTAATTCTCGTTCAAATTCATCTTCATCGGAATCATCGGTCTCGTTATCCCAAGGGCAGTGAATGCATTCACTGGGCCAAAGACTCCGGTAAAGCTCACGGGCATTTTCCCAGGTATACTCGTTCCAAGAGCCGTTGGACCTTTGATTATCAGGGTGTCGTCGAGAAAAAGCTTCAAGTGTCTGGGACATACGAAATTTTGATATTTTTGGGGCAAAGAGCAAAGGCTCGGAGTAGGATGCAGGAGATAGTCAGGTCGTACGGTTTCCGATTCGTATTTACCAGACCTGGCTCCTGCTCGCAAAGAAAGAATGGCTCATGGCCCGCTTCGCCTAACCCATTGAAATTGATGCCCCTCTCCACGGTGCAAACGGGTGGCGAAGTAGCTTCCAAATCGTAATCAAGACAAGGCTCAGTCTCAATGAGACGAACGTCTGATGCTTCCATGATCAACAAAGAATCTTCGATGAATCGCGGCCATACTTTGCGCCATTGTGGGCTATTCCAATCTTTGACGTCGTAGTAGTGAGAGTAGCTATCGCAACTTTGCATTAGTCTGGTCTTCCATGTCAAGATACATGTGGTTTACAGGAGCTTACCCCATCGTGTCTGTTGCATCGACACAGCGCAATCACACGACATGCTGTGGAATCAGTGGAAGCAAGTCAGACGATGTATATGGGACGGTGGAAATGTCACAATGTGGCAATGCTGCAATTAAATAGAACAAACGGTACTGCAAACCTACAGCAGGTTACAATCGGCGGCCGAGGGGCACAAAAAGTACTCTGCAGGACCACTGGAAAATGTAATAACTCCACTCTTAGTTAGACATGCTAATAATTGAACCAACACAAAGCCCTCATTTGACGTGCATGCAAGGTAGGTAACCAAAGGAAGAATTGCACAGCATTCACGCAGACGTTCCATCATCAAGGCTTGATCCCATTCGTTCAAATGCACAGGAATTGATCGCAGTCAAGCTATATGACCTCAAAAAGCGAGGAGTCGCCATAGAGGTAACGAAAGGGTGTTATCAGCAAAAGACTTGCGTCGAGGGGGAATCGAACCCCCGGCTCCCCGACGCTGCTGGATGGCAACGGAGAATTTTACCACTAAACCATCGACGCTCGATGAAAACCACTCACAGTCTAGCGGCTTGTGAAGCTCAGCACGCCAGCCCGCGAGCCGGACTCGAACTTCTCGCGTAAAGAAGCAAGGCAGGGCTCGAGGCTCACGCGCAGAAGAGGAGCAGACACCCTCAACTGACGGCCGAGGGGACTGAAGTCGAAAGACGTGCATGCAGGGTTGCGAAGCGGTGGTCGATAGCGAGACCAGGGACGTCCGCAATATCACTGCCTCCAGAAATCATGCGAAGCGTTCTAGTAAGCCAAAGCCAGAGAGGCTCTAGATACAATATCCATGGTTGATTGGGGTTGGTATCTGCCTGTCCAAAACTCCGCGCACTCACAAAATCAGTTCAAATAATTTGGGAAGTCCAAGCCGTCCACCTGGAACTCATTCATCAGCGTGGTCCAGTCGGGGAAATCCTGCATCATGCCGGCCCAGTCCATCCCATCAGCGGCCGCCATGCTATCCAGCCCACTATCCACCATGCCCTCCGCTTCTGATCTATCATCAGTTCCACCCGGCGTAGGGTATGACTCCTTCTCGGCGCTATCGTTGGCAATCGCTCCGCCGACAACGACGGCGCCACCGCCGTTCTGCTGGCCGAGACCCTGTCGTATCGCCGTTGCCTTGGCTCTCAATGTTTCTAGAACCGTCATCTTCGCCGCGGGCCCGAAACCGGCGTTCACGCTCTTCAAAAGCATGAAGCTATCGTCCACAGCTTTCCATGCCCGATCGACATTCGGTCCCTCTGGCCTCACGCACAAGTGCCACAGGACGTAGAGAAGCATATGGTACTGGGGATACGCCCGCATAGACCACCGATACTGCCGTAGCAGCTCGTCCGACGCCAGGCTCATGCCATCCTCGAGAATACCGAGCGCCTGGAGAAGATTCTCCTCCGTTGCAAACGAGTCGCGCGCCTCTGGGTGCTGGAGGTTGAGCCACTGCTGGCGCGTGACCATGTCGACTTTGCGAATGATGAACCGTGCAACGAGAAGGGTCTGGCGCTGTTGAGGGATGACCGGATTGCAGTGTCGAAGGAACCCTTCCGCGTACTCGTGAAGTTCTTGAACGACCTGGGCGCGGACGGATTCCGGTGTTGGGTTTTCGGCCCACGATGAGGCCATGGCCGCTAGACGGTGCCATGTGCGAGTCACTTGGATGTTGATTAGTGCCAGCGTCAACGTCGTCCAGCCCGTGCGAGAGTGCGGGAGCTCCTTCATCTCAGGATACAGGTCTCCGTCGTCCAGATTTGACGGGAAGCTGACGCCTATTTGTAGGTTGAAGCTTGAAACGTTTGAAAAGCCATAGTCCTCTGCTGCTCGACCATCCCGCGCGACGAGATGCCACCAAATGCGTCTACGAATCTCGGACTCAAAGGGTGAGAGGCCGAGCTTAGTCCCGTCTCGGTGTAGACCGATCGATTGGGCTGCTCGGATGGCCAGTCCGTTCAACGTCCACAAGCCTCGACCGGGGTTGTGTATCCTGAGAGCCGCCTGCGCCTAGTATAAGCACAAGAAAGGATGCTGTATAGTGTGGGTATACATACCAAGTATACAGACAAGGCTTCGAGCAGTTTCACCGAAGGATGTTCAAGAAAGTCGGCCTTGGCAAAAGCTTGCTCGAGGCCTGTCTTGAATCGATGAAGGCTCGTCACCTTGTCTTCGCCCGTGAAAATCTGGACCGAATTGGGCTCCAGAACAACAGTTGAGACAAAGAAAATGGCGAACATGACCGCTAGTGCTTCTGAACTCGCGTTGCGAGGGTCGTCGATGGCCGTGTAGACGAGAACTTCTGCTGTCGGCCGGTGGAGTATCTTGTTGCAAATCTCGATATTGTCGACATAGTTCCTCCATAGTTCTATGGCGCCGTACTTTGAAGGAAGGAGCTCAGCAAGATCTAGTTTGAGATCTGGTGCTGAGAGAATGCCCATGGGATTAAATGGCGACAGCTCCGCCGTAGCTGCCGACTCACTACTCTGTGGTGTAGTGAGAACTGATTGAATGTCATGTTCCTTTTGATGACTTGTCAGCCGACTGCCCCATGCCTCGAATGAATGGAAGAATCACTTACTTCCTCAATGACCCGAGAAATCAGAACATCGTCAAAGTATTGACTCGACGATCCCTTCCGTAAAAGAATCTCATCGTTGACACTCTTCTCCTGCGGACCCGAAGCTGGCGCTGTGGTTGGCCTGGATGCTGATGGATTAGAGTGATTTGGTCTCAAACCCAAACCAAAGGCTGTCCCGGGCGTGGAGGCCGATGGTGAAGCCCGAAGAGCCGGAAGCTGCTGCTGTTGCTGGCTCGCCGCCCCGGCCACAAGCGTCTTCTCCAGGTCCGAAATCCGGCTTGCAACGTCGGCGATGGTGGTCTTTCGGACACGGCGTATCGGCTGGCCCGCTTGTGGATAGTGACATTGGAAGCCGCCACGGGCACACGAAGCGCAAGGTTGCTTCTTGTCGCAGCGAATCTTGCGGCGGTGGCACAGCTGACAGGACCGCTCGATTTTGCGGCCGCCGCTGCTGCTCCCGATGCCGAGGCGGGTCGCGCTGCTGCTGTTATTGCTTCCACTCTCATCCCCGGCGGCCGTCGGGGGCTGGGATTGGCCCGGCTGCGGCGTGTCGGGTGCTCGTGTGGGCGAGGTCCGGACAGCTCCGGAGGCAGATGTTGGATCCGGTCCCATGGGGCCGGTATGGAGAATCCGGGTGACACCAGATCCCGACGCGATACGACGCAACACAAGATCGAATTCGACAATCCGTTGCTATTTTGTCTTGGCTTGCATAAATATGATTCGACTCGCGGTAAACTTGCTGGGGGCTGAACAACAAACAGCTCTTCCTTCAGTCGAGGTGGGTGATGGACTCTAGGTCGATGGTCAGGATCCCTCGGTCTCGGCGCTTACGAGAGATCCGAGGCCGAGCGAACTATCCCACAGGCCCCGCTCCTCCTGACTCGAGATGTAAAGTGCGAGCGCCGCCCAGACAAAGTGCGAGATGAAGCGCGCAAAATCCGGTGGCAGACCGCAGCACCTGCTTGTTTGCCTAGGGAGGCTGACTGTACCCATGGACCATGAGCCATGGGACATGGCTTGACCGCTTTCAGTTCTTCCCGTCGTCAGCGCGCCCGCAGAAGGCTTGATGACGGAGTAGACTCCGTCCGCATGCGTCCTAGTATCAAGCTTTGAACAAGTCCTTTAAGCTTCGCCGAGGTCCCCGAACGCGTACTATGTAGGGCGTCCCTTTATTTTTCCAGCCACCACGTGTCTGATGTTTCTGGTTTCTCTGATCTTTGTTAATCTAGAGCGATTGTCTAATCCATCGTCATTGAGACCGGTATAGAGGCTTTTTTGATTAGATGCTTCAATGTCTCAATGTCATATGCGACTCGGGGGTTTGCCCCTCTTGTGGGAATATGTCACCGGGCAAGCCCGTGAAGGATGCAGCGAGAACCCTGCTGCATACTATGTTCGCGGCTGCAGCCCCTGTGCTTCAATCTATCATTGATGCCAGTTGAATAGCCATATTGACAATGGTTACATAGTCGCCTTAAGAGGCAACTTGCCTCGGTACGGGCTGCCGAAGAGGAAAGAGTTGGCGTGTCAAAAGGCCCTTGATCAATATCAATAAGGTTCAACATGCTGGGAACATCCAAAAAAAGATCCATGAACATTGAAGACCATTGACACGGTACCATGCAGAACTTACTCGTTATCAAATCTCCGACTATCACTGACACGGTGAGTAATAACTAAATGGATCGACCCAGCCAGAACCTTTTCGTGTTAGTTCGTGGGGTTCCGCGCCGCTCAACGTCCATTATCCGTATCATCAGGGCATCGGGTTAACCGAGTTAGGTACGGACGCGCATCCTCCGAAGCTTCAATTGGGACCAACGTCGTAGAAATGCATGCTCAGTAACAAACCTCAGTCTTGTCTACACAGCAAGTTTCGACGATAGTCTTCAACATAATTTCCCTGACCCTTGACTCTTCCGGACGGATCACTACCGAGGCGATGGTAAGCTCCCGCGATGGCGCAAAGGGGGGCTACTGGCTATGCCCCGCAGACTTATTCTACACAAAGATGCTTTTCGGGCGTTGGAGTTCATCCTCATCGACCAGTCTCGAGGGAACTTGACTGCCCTCACACGCAACATAGGTACTCCGTGGGGTATGGGGTCTTCAGGGTGAACTTACCCACCGTGTAACCCGTGGACCGGATGGCACTTTAGGAAAAAGTGACAAAATCAGAAATCGTAAGAACTGAAACGCAAACAACGACTCTTCGTCTAGCATGTGGCATATGGTGCCATTCGTTGCAGGACGGTGTACACTATCACTCTTTTCATCCATAACTGCAGTACAGACGGACGTACTGTATTTAACTTTGAGGGCGCGTGATAGTTGATCCCCGTTTAGATTTAGCGAGGAGCGAACAAGGTTCTCGGCTACACAAGGGCCTAATTCATG